CAGGCACATCCTGCCTAAAATATACGATGATGTACTGTACATTTAAGAAACAAATCTGGGTCACAGGTCTGTGGAGTGTGGTTAGGCTTACGGAGTCAGCCGGTCCCTCCCCCACCACCAACACACCTCCCCCTCTCCCCCCACCACCGACACACCTCCCCCTCTCCCCCCACCACCGACACACCTCCCCCTCTCCCCCCACCACCGACACACCTCCCCCTCTCCCCCCACCACCGACACACCTCCCCCTCTCCCCCCACCACCGACACACCTCCCCCTCTCCCCCCACCACCGACACACCTCCCCCTCTCCCCCCACCACCGACACACCTCCCCCTCTCCCCCCACCACCGACACACCACCCCCACCCCCCCACCCCAAACCCATACACACACACACACACTCTCAAAGGTCACGTGGTTCACAGTTCACTTCAACACCCATATATCGCTTCCTGCCTGCCTGCCTCCTTCCCACCCTGCCTCCTTCCCAGCCTGCCTCCTTCCCAGCCTGCCTCCTTCCCAGCCTGCCTGCCTGCCTCCTTCCCAGCCTGCCAGCCTGCCTCCTTCCCAGCCTGCCAGCCTGCCTCCTTCCCAGCCTGCCTCCTTCCCAGCCTGCCTGCCTGCCTCCTTCCCAGCCTGCCTGCCTGCCTCCTTCCCAGCCTGCCAGCCTGCTTCCTTCCCAGCCTGCCTCCTTCCCAGCCTGCCAGCCTGCTTCCTTCCCAGCCTGCCTCCTTCCCAGCCTGCCTTCTTCCCAGCCTGCCTCCTTCCCAGCCTGCCTGCCTGCCTCCTTCCCAGCCTGCCTGCCTGCCTCCTTCCCAGCCAGCCAGCCAGCCAGCCAGCCTGCCTGCCTGCCTGCCTGCCTGCCTGCCTGCCTGCCTGCCTGCCAACCTGCCTGCCTGCCTGCCAGCCTGCTTCCTTTCCAGCCAGCCTGCCTCCCCCCCTGCCATCATGCTAACGGGTAGTGTGTGTTAGGCTTATCTTCGGGAATGAGCCGGTCTCACCCCCACCACCAACAAACCACCCGGCCCCCTACATCCCATCTCTCAAGGTCACGCGGTTCAACCGCGTGACTACCACTCACTCCCTGCCTGCAAGCTAGCCTGCCTGCCTGCCTGCCTGTGCCTGCCAGCCTGCCTTTCCCTCCCTAATTCTCACTACTTCCATCCCTTCCTGCCTACCTCCTAGCATCTCTCCCTACCTCCCCCTCCCTCTTAGCATCTCTCCCTACCTCCTAACATCTCTCCCTACCTCCCCCCCTCTCTCACTGATTCTCCCCCCCCCCCCCCTCATTCATACTGCCTCCCACCTAAGCTCCATCGTCCATCCACCCACCACTGACGCAATGCGTGCATTTGGAGCCAACATGGTGCACAGATGTTTCTTGATTGTGCAGATATGTAAAACAAAAGCACAGAATGAACATTCCAGCCTTATGGCAATTCAAAATAATAGGAATAATAGGCCGTGAATCTGTGAAGTCACAGTGGGCAAACTGGACCATCGCCCACCCACCACCACAAGCCGGTGTGACGCTTGGTGGACCCCTTCCTACCCGAACTTTGTTCGGGTAGCATGACTCCCCAACCCCAATCGGGAAACTGGAAGTTTCGGATAACTAAAGTTCGGAAACCAAGTGGTGCTCTGTATATGTATATATATATATATATATATATATATATATATATATATATATATATATATATATATATATATATATAATATATATATATATATATATATATATATATATATATATATATATATATATATATATATATATATATATATATATATATATATATATATATATATATATATATATTATATATATATATATATATGTCGTACCTAGTAGCCAGAACGCACTTCTCAGCCTACTATGCAAGGCCCGATTTGCCTAATAAGCCAAGTTTTACTGAATATATGACCGAACCTAACCAACCCTACCTAACCTAACCTAACCTATCTTTATAGGTTAGGTTAGGATAGGTAGCCGAAAAAGTTAGGTTAGGTTAGGTTAGGTAAGTTAGGTAGTCGAGAAACAATTAATTCATGAAAACTTGGCTTATTAGGCAAATCGGGCCTTGTATAGTAGGCTGAGAAGTGCGTTCTGGCTATTAGGTACGACATATATATATATATATATATATATATATATATATATATATATATATATATATATATATATATATATATATACAGTATATATATGTCGTACCTAGTAGCCAGAACGCACTTCTCAGCCTACTATGCATGGCCCGATTTGCCTAATAAGCCAAGTTTTCCTGAATTAATATATTTTCTCTAATTTTTTTCTTATGAAATGATAAAGCTACCCATTTCATTATGTATGTAGTCAATTTTTTTTTAGTGGAGTTTTTAAAATTAACGTAGATATATGACCGAACCTAACCAACCCTACCTAACCTAACCTAACCTATCTTTATAGGTTAGGTTAGGTTAGGTAGCCGAAAAAGTTAGGTTAGGTTAGGTAGGTTAGGTAGCCGAAAAACAATTAATTCATGAAAATTTGGCTTATTAGGCAAATTGGGCCTTGCATAGTAGGCTGAGAAGTGCGTTCTGGCTACTAGGTACGACATATATATATATATATATATATATAGTATATACTATATATATATATATATATATATATATATATATATTATATATATATTATATATATATATTATACATATATATATATATATATATATATATATATATATATATATATATATATATATATATATATATATATATATATATATATATATATATATATATATATATATATATATATATATATATATATATATATATATATATAATATATATATATATATATATATATATATTATATATATATATATATATATATATATATATATATATATATATATATATATATATATATATATATATATATATATATATACTGTGGTACAATATATATATAAATACAGTGGTACCTCGAATAACGATCGCCTCAAATGGCGAGCATTTTGGGTAACAACCAGCCCGATCGGGAACAATTCGTCTTGTATAGCAAACGCTCGTTTGTGTAACATCAACACCACATGGTGGGGTCGCGCTGCTTCCATCACATTCCCGACCACCACTGATGACAGTGTTGTATTGGTGTCGCGCACGACCAGTATCCGTCTGCATCGCTCCGCATATAATTGTGATATTTGTGGGTTGTTTGTGGTTTTGTGACTACAATTCTGAACGCACGATGTCGTCCAAGAAGCAGCCTGCGAAAGATAGTGCTGGCAAGGGGAAGAAAGAGGCAATCACTGTAGAAGTGAAGAAGGAAATTATAGCAAAGCACAAGCATGGTGTTCGTGTTGCTGATCTTGCCAGTGAGTATGGCATTATATGATGGGTCCCGAGAAAGTCAGTGGTAAGGTTCAACCTAAGAAAATAGTTGTGTGTAGAGGCAGTAGAGGATGTCCCTTCCTCATTAAGAAAATGTGTGAAATATGGGAAGAACTGCAAAGTTTTGTTGAAAAAACTCACCCAGATAAAGCTGTAGCAGGCCATTGCATTGACCTTTAAATGACAATGTGATGTCTTACTACAGACAAGTGTTAAAATGAAGGGAAAAACAAGTGTCTTTAGACAGATTCTTAGTAAGACAAGCAAGCAGTGAGCCACAAGCAGGTCCTAGTGGTGTGCAGGCAAAACATGCCAGTGTGTGTATCCTAGAAAAGTCTTCACTGCCTGATATTATAATGGAAGGGGACTTCCCTTCCAAACAGTAACACCTCTCCTCCTGCCCCCTCATCACCATCTTCCATAAGAGTCCTCCATAAAGGTAAGATAAACATATGTACTGTATTGTAGTTAGAGAAAAAAATTGTATTCAGTATAAAATGTATTACTAAGTTAATATTTTGGAGGGTGGGGAACAGATTAACTCAATTCCCTTTATTTCTTATGGGAAAATTCACTTCGCCTTACGATATTTTGACTTACGATACATCTCTGGGAATGGATTACCATCGTAAATCGAGGCCTCACTGTATATAAAATCAATGAGTTTGGATGGATATAAATAGGAAGCAGCTCCTATTTATAACGTTCACATACACCTGTATATAGGAACTGCTTTGTACAGGCCAATAGGTTTTCTGCAGATCCTTAGTTTTTATTTATATATACATACATTCATAGTTACACAAATACATATGATCATCTAGACATCCATGATCAACATTGAGTGTCTAGCTCCAGCAGTGTATTTTGCCGACAGAGAGCTCTGGTGTTTAGAGATGGAGCTGGGCCACTACACATCACAATATGGTCATGTAAGTGTGGTGATGGTGGAGGCCAAAACCACCAGTAGTATTAAAGCTTCATATGACAGTGCACCGCACCAAGAAAATAGAAAACCATGAAAGTAGCTTTCATCCTGTAACTACACTTAGGTAATTGTACTTATTAATGTAATTACTTTATACAGTGCACAAAACTACTTACAATATAGATATTCAGTTATTTTTTTTTTTACCTTTTGCATCCAAATTAATCATTCAATAACAAACAATATTTGTGGGGATTGTTTTTGTTTTTGCACATAGGCCACATGCATCTAAATTGATAGCCACATGTTGGAGGTTAAACTGGTTGCATTATACCCAACACCTGCATTACAGCCATCATACCTTCATTAAATTGCCTGCACTATACCCACCAGACCTTAAATAGTCACTGAACTATGCCCAACGTCTTCACTGAATGACTTGTACATAATTGCACCACATCTTTCAGCAACTTCTGAGACCTACAATTTAAATTTAATTACCACTACCTATAACCTAACCTACTGCAATCTACCTCTTTTACGCTACTTAAAAAATTAGTCTACATTATTTTATTGACAATGTCCTCTAATATATTCAGTTATCTTCATGCACAGCAAAAATTTCAATTTCTTAATTATCACAAAAAAAAATAATATTTCTACGTGTACACACGTGAGCAAGAAACTTACATTATCTGAGGATCCGTTGTTATTTTCGTATCGTGTGCGTATTTTGATAGAAAATCTTGGAATAACGGAGCACTGTAAAAGAAAAAATCAATACCATAATTAAATTAAATTATTCCATAATTATATATATTAATTTAATACGTTAAGTTTACAGCATAGAAAGAGATGCTCCTCACCCTATGAGGAGTATAGGGAGAACAACACCCTGGTACTTGGGGGACTTCAACTTGAAAGCAATATGGTGGGAGGCCTCTGAAGCAAGAACAGAGGGAATTGGACAGGCAGATTTGTAAACTTCATTCTGGAAACATTTGTGTATCAACACATCAAGCAGGACACAAGAATGAGAGAAGGGGATTTTCTGTCAATACTGGATTTTGAATTCACCAAGCAAGAAGAAGAGATATTTGACATCATTACCCATGGAAAAAGTGTGATCATGTCCTGTTGGAAATAAAATATGCTTAGGGATATAATCTAGAAGGTAATGGGGACATTGAAACAATTGATAAACTCGATTTCAAGAGAGGACACTATGTGGAACTTAGAAAATTCTTTAATGAATTTAATTGGACAGATTTGTTGCTAGGCAAGGAAGTAAATGAGATGTATGCCAAATTTTGCAAAATATACATTGAAAGCACATAAACATTCATACCAAAACAGAGCTGCAGAACCAGAAAACAGGATTGATTCCACAGAAACTATGAGAGGGATAGAAAGGAAAAGACTAGAAAATAGGTTCAATATAGGAAGAGGCCTAACCCTCAAACATACCAGCATTACAAGCAAGCAAGAAACAAATTCACAGCAGTGAGGAGAGAGGCAGAAAGGAGATTGAGAAAGAGATAGCAGATAAATCTAAAACATATTCAGACCATTTCTATATATTCATTAAAACAAGCTGCATGTAAAGGATAAAATCCAGAGATTGAAAATGGGAAACAGGATTATTGAAAATGAAAAAGTAATGTGTGAAATGCCAAATGAACAGTTCCAAAATAAGCTTGTATAAAATGATGTTTTCAGAGCCAGACCCAATGCCAATTTCAGAGCACAACATAGAATACGTAGAAATATCTCAAGACGAAGTGGAAAAATTACTAAAGGGGCTAGGGAGAAATAAAGCAGTTGGACCTGATGGAGTTTCACCTTGGGTGCTGCGAGAATGTGCAACTGAGCTCAGGGTTCAACTCCAATTAATATTGAAGACATCATTGTGCACAGGAATCTTAGCTAATATATGGAAAAAGGCTTACATAGTTCCAATCTATAAAAATGGGAGCCAAGCAGGACCTCTAAATTATAGACCCGTACCATTAACCCCTGGGCTGCTCTTGTGATTATAGCCTGCAACATGCCCAGGCACAAGAAATAGAAAAAATAAAAAAAATAAATTCCTCTTATATAAGTGTTCATTTGTGTTCCCTGACCATGGAAAAAATCATACGTGACATATTTTGGCTGCAATAAGATGAGGAAGTCTGGCAAAATTGAGGCATTAACAGAGCAATCGCCAGAGGCGGTCAGCTCCGCCAGCGCTTTCAGGTAGCAGTTGCCACAAAGATATTATTTACTAATTATTTCAATGTCTCTTATTGATTTTTTTATTTTTTTGCAGTAATATTATTCAATAGTGTGTAGTATGATATATTTATATAATAAATTGTGTGAATCATTGCTATACTCAAAATTATGGTGTGCATATTAGTGATTCAATTATTATGTTCATAAAACAATAAACAAATAATTTTGCTGTTATTACACTATATACACAGGTTATATACAAATATCTGCATGTTTTGTTCATCAAAACGAACCACTAAGTTTGTATGGTAAGCAATACCAACGATGAGTGGCCGCCACACACCAACCAGCAAACACCGCCATCCTTCCCTCCCTCACCTTGCCTCACTCACCAACACTCCTCCTCCCACCATACTGTTTTTGCTTTTATTCACTATATACAGATGATTTATATACAAGTATCTACATGTTTTGTTCATCATAACTGTACAACTAAGCTGGTATGGTGAGTTCAGACAGCAACAGAGAACGCCACTCACAGTCAGCAGCCGCTGCCTCCCCGCCCTCACTCGTTCAAGGTCAGACTCATTAAATTCCTCCTCCACCCATACTGTTTGTGGTGTTATTACAATATATACACACATTATATGTAAGTATCAATACATTTTGTTCACCATAACTGTACAACTAAGCTGGTATGGCGAGTTCAGACAGCAACAGAGGACGCCACACACAGTCAGCCAACGCTGCCTCCCCTCCCTCACTAAGATTCCTGCTCCCACCATATTGTTTGTGCTGTTATTAAACGATATGCTCACGTTACATATAAGTATCTACACTTGTTTTCACCGTAGCGAACCACTAAGCTGATATGGTGATTCTAGACAATAACAGGTGGCCACACAGTCAGCAGACAAAGCTACCTCCCTCCCTCCCTCAGCATTACTGTATCTTGCACTGTACTATGAACACGTCAATAGCCGTGGTGCACAATTCCGCGACAGTTACTCACCACAGCTATTGATGTGTTGCGCAGTTCAAGGGTTAAAAAGTGTGGTAGTCAAAACACTAGAAAAACCAGCGCTAAATGTAATGAAACGCCATTTTTTGGGTAACACCCGGAGGTTTCTCCTGAGCTATCTGGGCTGATATTAGATATAAATGTATTAGACTGTGGCATGATTCAAAGCAAATGGAGTTCTGCCTACCAGGGACCACGAGCTAGAACCTGGCCCCCAATGAGAGGAACGAGGAACAATGGTCTATAGAAACCAGAGTGGTTAGAAGCATTCTGTCTGCCATCAACTGGGTCAGGCACCAGTCATGAAAGGTAAGTGCCCGAAAACAAACCCTATCTGGTTAAAAAATTTCTACTGAAACGCAAACTGTTGAACAGAATTCCCAAAACTAAAAACAAGCATGACATCACAACCGTCACCGTGCTGCTGTCTGTGCAGCTCCCCCCCTACCCCGGGAGGAAAAAGGAGGGCTTCAGACCCCTGCGCCGGCTATCCACCCTTAGTTCAGAGGCTGGATGTCAAAAACTGCAAAAAACGCCGACTGGAGGGAGGGAGGAAGCCTCCTCTGGGGAGCCTCCGGGTATCACCCAGAAAATGGCGTTTCATTACATTCAACACTGGTTTTCTGGGGGAGCCCCTTCTGATCCCCGGAGCTACTTAATCAAAGATCCCAGGTATGTCCCCAAGAAGGACATACCCGGGAGGCAGTTGCCACTTGTTCCTCAACTCGAAGTCGAGACAACTGGCTGCAATTGCTGACCCAATGCGACACATGCCCAACTAGGGCCAGGAACATTAACTAGGTAGCGAGAGGCCAGGACCCTGTTCGACCTCCAAAAACCTAGTGCCTGAATGTCAGCCCAAGACATATTATCAAAGATGGCAGCCAACGCAGCAAACTTCCAAACGTCATGGCCAAGAGGATAGATTATAGGCTGGCTGGCTGGACCGAATAACTCTGCGGACAACCTGGGAGACCCAAACCCTGGAACAGGGAAGAAGGGGAAGCCGGGTCAACCTAGAGGGCGTCCCCGGCCACCGAAGCTGTGGCACGCAGGTAACGGTGATAGAGCCGCAACTGGACACAACAGATGATGCTCCCCCGGTCAAACCAACCAAGCATCAACAACCTAAGGCCCCCTCCAGAAAGCAGCAGTCTCATTCTTCGCCAGAAAAGGAGGAGACAACTGCAAATGAACAAACCTACCTCCATAACCAAAGGAACAGAAACCACTGTGCCAGAGGAGAGCATGAAGCTTCCCAACCTGACCCCAAGAGGTCAATGCCAACAGGAAAAAAAAAAAGAGCCTTCGAAAAACAATCTTAAACCGAAGGGGCCACAACAAACCTAAAAGGAGAGAGAAAAGAGAGCACCCAGTCCAATGACCAGGACGTCTCAGGAGGTGCAGGAAGCAGGCAGTAAGTGAAATAATGCATGAGACAGCTTGTAGAACAGAGCGGTAACATCTACCCCGAACACAAGTTGAAGCAGCTCCGCCAGTGCCACACAATACGAGGTGACAGTATTCGGCATAAGATGATGGTCTTGAAACAACCAATAAAGGATGGACAAGACAACCCAATCCAAAACTGAAGAAAACCTACGGAGGGACAAGAAGTAACGAAAGGACTGCCAGGAAACTTCATACTGCCGCCGAAACGAAGCACGCAGGTGGGACACCATCAACAAGGCCACCTGCTCACCAAAAAATGGCGATACACCTACATCAGAAAGACCAGTTGCAAAGACAGAGGAGCAAAGCGAATCGGCTACATAACGGACTGACCCGATCTGCTGAAAGAGGCAGAACCGTGGGAAAACCAACCGGGCTCGGACACCAAGCAAGCAGCGCCTGAAACCAAGGCTGGGCCGGCCACCAAGGGGTCATCAGGACTACTATCCCTTGGTAAGTCTCCAACCGAGCCAGGACCTGGAGCAACAGTGGAACCGGGGAAAAGTAGTACAGGTGACCCCACCTTGACCAGTCCTGCCTGAAGGCATTGACCCCTATGGCTCGCAGTCAAGAAAGGACGCAACATAAATTGGGAGATGCCTTGACCACACCGACGCGAAGAGACCCACCTCCGGGAACCCCTAAGTCCGGTAGAGCTAACTGAATGAGTCGGGGTTGACTGTCCATTCAGTGGCAGGAGAATGAACCGTGACAGGCCATTCGTCAGGACGTTGAAAACCCCCCGGACATGAACGGCCAAGAGAGCCAAACCCTGAGAACTCAACAAAGGTGGTACATGCCCAAGGGGACACAGGTGGAAGCTGAGTACCCAAATGAGCCACAGAGACATTAGAAAGAACTTTTCAGTGTCTGAGTAGTTAACAGATAGAATGCATTAGGCAGTGATGTTGTGGAGGCTGAATTCCATACACAGCTTCAGATGTAGGTATGATAAGAGCCCAGTAGGCTCAGGAATCTGTACTCCAGTTGATTGACAGTTGAGAGGTGGGACCAAAGAGCCAAAGCTCGGCCCCCGCAAGCACAACTAGCTGAGTACAACTAGGTGAGTACAGAGCACAGGAGAAGAGGGAAGCTCAGAAAACTGATACAAACTGGCCGGCCCTGAAATTGATACAACTTGCTTACGACGATCGAAAGAACCCAGAGCCCCGGCACAATTCTTCCAGGCAGGACCATCACGCCTCTTCCACCCCCCCCCCCCCCCCGGGGGTCCGGGTCCAGCAGAATGCATGCCACACCCTCAACGAAAAGAAAGGGCAGTCTGCCAGCCAGGAACACACATTGTAACGCATCCAGTAAGGAAAAGAGGAGCCAAACTCAAAAGAAGAAGGATCCAATATTGAGGTGTAATCCAGGTCTCGAAGGAGGTAAGCCACAAGGGCCTCCCACACCTACCTCAGCGGGATGCGAGAGGCCAAAAACCTCCGGAAGGAGGGAACCAAGAAACCCAAGGGAACCGGGAACCGAACCCGGGGAAGGAGTCGAACTCATATCAAACTTGTACACGGAGGGGGAATAGGAAAACCCCTCCGCCTGTAACAAGTCCCGCGCTGAGGGTAACAACACCTAAGTGGGGTCAAACAGGACCCAAGCCCCCCTCAAATCAACTCTTCCGCAGCCCTGGGAACTTCCACGTCAGGACCGCCAAACCGGTAGGGGCAGTCCCTGAAGCTGCCCGAGTCTCATCACCAAGAAAACCCTCAAACTCTCAAAACCCGGGAGCAGGGAGGGGGGTGAGGGAGGAGCAGCAAGATGAACCACAGCAGGGAAAGGACAAGGGGGCACGAATGAAACCAAAGGTGAGGCAATGAACACCCCCATGTCCGGGTCTCAATAACCAAAGCGGGGCACCTGCAAGGCTACCTGGCAAGGCAAATGCAAGGGAAAGGCTATCTACTTAGCTCATTGCAGCAACCTAAACCGTGCATGCAATGCTGAAGCTGCCTGCACCAAAATATCAACATCAGTGGACTGGGTGAACTGGAGTACAAGAAAGGAACACCTTTCGCAGGACTCCGGGTCAAACGTGACATTGACCCCACAGGCAGCATGGTGGGGCAAAGACGGTGAGTGTCACCCTGAAACAAGGGGACAGAGCAGCCTTCAAACTCGCAAGAAGCGAGGTGGGACTCGGAAGTCTCCTCCATCAGACCAATGAGCTGCAATGGGGGTTCCTAGGGCTCTTTGACTGCTAAGGGAAGCCCAGGCAAGATACTGCTAACTGGTTATCCCAGAGCTACCAAGCCAACAAACTAAAAGCTGAACCCCGTGCGACATATGCAAGCACAGGGACTAAGCAGAGGGCCACCAAAATCATACAAGTGATCCTACAGCCACACCAGGCAGACCCCCACCAGGCAAAACAAAAAATAAAAACCCTGCAAAAGCACTATGTCTCCAGGGGAACAGAACAGGTCACTAAGCGTATATCAGCCAGCTGCAAGTACCTTGTGCTCCAGCCAGCGATGATACTACTTCCTACCCAAAAACCAAACAGGAGTAAGAACCACCCCAGCTGAACCCCAAGGGTGGGCAATCACCTAGCAGCAACAGAACTACGCGGAGGTAGCTCCCAAAAGGTTCATGGAAGTTAACCCTAAACCGCAAGGGTAATACTTACAGGGCACCTAGGGAAGGTGGCCTAGGTGCATGCAGCCCCAGTAATCTTATATTACTCCGGGCTCATACCACCAACACAGAACACCATCACTCTACAACACTGCTCAAAAGGATGAAGTCAGGGTTGATCGACCGTCACCAACACAACAGCCTCTTGAACTAGGGTTGGCTAGCCGGCGTGGGAGGTCTGGGACCACCCCCCCCCCCTTGTTGAGCTATGACTCTCTGGTTCTGCCTCTCAACTGTCAATCAACTGGTGTACAGATTCCTGAGCCTACTGGGTTCTATCATATCTACATTTCAAACTGTGAATGGAGTCAGTTTTCACCACATCACTGCCTAATGCATTCCATTTACTAGTTACTCTGACACTGAAAAAGTTCTTTTTAATGTGTGTGTGGCTCATTTGGGTACACACAGTTTCCACCTGTGTCCCCTTGTTCGTGTTCCGCCCATGCTAAAGAGTTTGTCTTTGTCCATCCTGTCAATTTCCCTTGAGAATTTTGTAGGTGGTTATCATGTCTCCCCTTATTCTTATATCTTCCAAGGACGTGAGTTTCAGCTCCTTTAACCTTTCCTCGCAGCTCATACCTCTCGGTTCCAGGACGAGTTTGGTGGCATACCACTAAATCTTCTCTAACTTTGTCTTTTGTTTAACTAGATATGAACTCCAAGATGGAGCAGCATATTCCAGGATTGGTCTGACATAAGTGGTATACAGGGTCCTAAACGATTCCTAACATAAGTTTCTAAAGGCAGTCCTTATGTTGGCCAGTCTAGCATATGCCGCTGAGGATATCCTTTTGATGTGGGCCTCTGAGGACAGGTTCGGTGTGATATCAACCCCCAGATCTTTCTCTCTATTTGACTCTTGTAGGATTTCACCTCCCAGATGGTACCTTGTGTTCAGCCTTCTGCTCCCTTCGCCTAATTCATTACTTTGCAGTTTCCCCGAGTTGAACTTTACTAGCCATTTTCTAGACCATTCCTCCAGCCTGTCCAGGTCATCCTGTAGTCTCTGTCTATTGTCATTTGTCTTGATTCTTGATCATCATCAGCAAACATTGAGAGGGATGAGTCTATACCCTCTGGAAGCTCCTTTACATATATTAGAAACAGGATGGATCCAAGTACAGAGCCCTGTGGGACTCCGCTGGTGACATCTCGCCACTCTGATGTCTCCCTCCCCCCTCACAGTTACTCGCTGTTTCCTGTTGCTTAGATACTCCCTTATCCACTGGCGTACCTTACCTTTTACTCCTGCCTATTGCTCCAACTTTTGTAACAGTCTTTTATGGGGTACTGTGTCAAAAGCTTTCTGACAGTCCAAAGAAAATGCAGTCTGCCCACCCTTCTCTTTCTTGCCTAATTTTTGTTGCTTAGTCATAGAATTCTATTAACCCTGTGAGGCACGATTTACCATCTCTGAACCCATTCTGGTGGTGTGTTACAAAGCTATTTCCATCCAGATGCTCTACGAATCTTTTCCTCACAATCTTCTCCATCATCTTGCATGGTATACAAGTTAGGGAAACTGGCCTGTAGTTCAGTGCCTCTTGCCTGTCACCCTTTTTGTATATTGGGACGACATTAGCTGTCTTCCAGCTTTCTGGTAGGTCTCCTGTTTCCAGTGACCTGTTATACACCATAGAGTGTGACACGCTTAGTGCTTCTGCATCTTCTTTAATATCCCGGTGAGATTCCATCAGGCCCACCAGCCTTTGTCACATTCAGTTCCATCAGATTTCTTTTGACCTCATCACTGGTGAGGTCAAAATCCTCCAAGGTTACTTGGTTTGCTTCCATCTCATTTAGTGCAGGGGCTTCATTTTTTTTGTGAAGACCTCCTGGAATCTCTTGTTGAGTTCTTCACACACCTCTCTCATTCTCTGTGTATCTATTCTCCCCTTTTCTCAGTTTCATTACTTGTTCCTTCACCGCTGTTTTCCTCCTGATATGGCTGTGGAGCAGCTTTGGTTGGGTCTTAGCTTTACTCGCAATGTCACAGTGGCGTGGTGGCAGTGGTTACGTCATGCTTGTTTGCTTGTTTTTGATTGGGGAGTTCTGTTTGCTAGTTTGCCTTTTGATTTGCAATTTTTAACCAGCTGTAGTTTGTTTTGGAGTTCCTACCTTTCTGGGTGCCTGACCTGGTAGTGGCAGACATAGCCTGCTTCCAATTACATGGCCATTGTAATTACTCTATAGGCCATTGCTCCTCGTGCCTCTCTGAGGGGGCCAGGTCCTGGCGCTGGTACCCGGTAGGCCTAGAACTCCATCGATTGACTGTTGCCACGGTCTAATATATGCACATCAGCCTGGTATAGCTCTAGGGAGCTGAAGGGACTCTCTACAGAAATGACTACAAAAGACAAATTTGGGAAACCGAGATTTTTTGTAAATTCAGATTGGGTCTGGAAGATCTAGATTTTTTAGGTTAGCCTGTACAATGAATTCAGTGCAAACTACGAACTCTTAAAACAACGAAGTTTGTCTAATTTACCCCTTCCACCATATACCATACAACAAACAGTTAAAAAAACAGAGAATATACTCACTGTGTATTCTGTTGTGCCGGAACATATCACATGAAAAAAATAAACCACAGAATTAGTAGGTAGGCCTATGTATCAAGTTGTGCTTTTATTAATCTACTGTGTTAAAAAACTATATACTCCACTACCAGTTAATTGGCATATATAAGTTACTAAATATATGATTTCTTCATATGAGAACCCAGTGAGAAAGGTTCCTTGGACTGAGATAGTTCTTGATATGAATGGGGAGGCATAATGAGTACAGGGAAACAATTATTATAATGCTGAAATGAGTAGAGGAGATTATAATGAATTCAGTGTGTAATGAATACAGGATGGTGTAATGATCACAAGTTTGTTTAATAAGCACAGTAAATGTCATGAGCATGAGTTGGCTATATTTATAGTAATGGTTGCATTTATAGTGGTTATTACAGTCATTGTTTTGGTTGTAATTTTGATGTTTGTATTTGTGATGGAATCATGATTGTGGCTATGCTGCTGTGGTTCAGTTGTGGTGGTGGGTTTGTTTTCATGCTGGTTGTGTACGATAAGGGTTATTGTTGTTCTGGCTTCCTTTCATTTTTGGCCAGTTCGTGCATCTCTGGAATCTTTTAGCCTTTGGACCACATGCTAGTTTACTTATCTTCTCCTCGCTTTTGGCATTCATTTTTAGGTGGCGTTTTGGTTATTATGTTGGAAAGTTTTCCACTCTTCTCTGGCAGTGTGGGTTTTGTTCGTTTGGGTTTAGGAATTATTTTTATCCGAGCCTATTAACCTTCATTCTTGGCTCCTGTTGAAACTTTTGCCTCTGGTGAGGTTTTCTGTCATTGCCACTAGATTTATCAAGTTGGGGGATTGCATCATATACTCCATCATATGAGACTGTAGTGCAGTTTTCCATGCACATTATTTCTGCTATTAGTCGTGGCAATTTTGTCAACCCACCTTTCCTAGGTCCTTAAAATGGGGGTTCAGTTCAATCAGCCAGCTATTTTCCCCACTCTCATTGATATGTAAAAGATTGCTGCTTTGATGCCTTTTTTATTTTTTTGGCATAGTGTCCACAGCTCATTTTCTTTTAGTGGTTCAAATTGGTGTTGGCCAAATGTTACTTAATAGATGTTCTTCAGTCTCACCATAGTTGTGTCCTCCATGAATGTTTGGCATGCAGCTGGAATTCTTTTGCCCCAGGCTCCCATCCAGCTTTTCTGTTTTCCTAAAGTGATGATGATCTCTTTCAAGGTGCCGTTGAGATTAATATTGGGGCACAACTGTGGCTCCTTCCCAGAAATCAAGGTCTGAATGTAATGAAACAAGTTTTCTGGGGAGCCCTCACTAGCTCCATGTCCCTTCTACTATATGGGGTGAAGGGATATAGCACTAGTGATTCCAGAGTAAAGTGGCAGGCTAGCTGATGCCCCAGGTGACCTAAGCTGCCATCTGGTGGTGGTCATGTAATCAGTGCGGCAATGATCATTTGTCATGTTTACATGAGGTGCCTCAGTTCCTTTGAACAGTTGTTTTGCTGAGCCCATGCTTTCTGTCAGGTGTTTTCCCAGTTTTGGTTTGATCTGATACCCAAGTTGCCCTTGCCTTATCGAGTAAGCCACATTCTGGTCATCGTTTCCAGTGGATGAGGACAAGTCTCAAAAGGCTTGAAGTGTTGGGCTAAGCCTTAGTGGTACCAGAAGGGAACCATCAGGAAAAAGTGCTAAGCCATTATGACTATATAGCACTTGGAAGGGATCAGGATAAGGGTTTGGGAATGGGACAGAGGGAAAGTGTGGTGCCCAACCAATTGCACGGTCGTTGATTGAACGCCAACTTGAATGAAGAAAGACCGTCACTCTACCGTCTAGCCCAAGTGGTAGACTAGGTGGTACCAGAGTTAAGCTCAGGGAACTACTCAGGGATTTCCTCATAAATATTTTTCCTTTAAAAATTACATGGTATCCCTTCCAGATACTTTATTACTATGATATGAATAAACCCTAAATAAATATCTTTACCATTACGATATACAGCATTGTAGTTTTATTAGATTTTTGGTCTTTCAAACATATAGCCTAATTCATCATGAACTCTGCTATCTGTTAAGTGCTGGTGCAACATTCTTTCTCTGGAAACTTCATTAGAATTTCATTTCTTACCATTAAAAATAAACTACAATAACAAAAGTTTTAAAATTCTGAAAATAGAGTAATGAAATTTCTTAAATTATTAATTCTCATCATCAGTTATTACCTGTTTCTGTATATGGATAGTAATTCCAGGCCTTCTCTGTCAGATATATGAAGCGTGGAATATAAGATCGAATCCAGAGTGGCAGCTTCCTGAAAAAAAAAAAAACAGCGTTGAATGTAATGAAACACCATTTTCTGGGTAAGCCCCAGGTTTTCCCTGGAGCTATGGGGCTAATGTGCAAATCATTAGACCAGGGCATTCGTCTATGGAGTTCAGCTTACCAGGGACCATGAGCCAGAACCTGCCCCCCCCTCAGAAAGGCACAGGTGGCAATGGCCCTGGAAAACCCCCGTAGTTGGGGGGTATTCCTTGTCTGCCATCAACCGGGGTTAGGCACCCAGAAAGGTAGGCATAACAAAACAGACCCCACACGGTAAGAAAATTGCAACCGAAAACAGAATAGAAAGGTAGAACTCCCTCCAATCCCAAGGAAACAAGCAAACATCACACTCCATCGCTGTGTCACTCATTCATGCAGCCCCAGACACCCCCCCCCTCCCCCTTGGCAGCGACCCAGCCACTCCAATTAGGAGGCTAAGTATCAACCACGCAAAAAACGCTGACCGGAAGAAGGGAGGGTTGCCAAGGAGCCTCTGGGGCTCACCCAGCAAATGGCATTTCATTACATTCAATGTTGATTTTCCCTCTATTCTATAAGGAATAGAGGGACTTACCAGGGAGGCAGCTCCCACACACTCCTCAACTCAAAGTCGAGACAACTGACTGCAACTTGCGACCTAAAGCAACACAAGAACACCCAGGCCCAGAAATGTTAACCAAATATCGAATTGCCAGGACCCTGTTCAACCTCCAAAATCCCTGTGATCAAATATCAGCCTAAGACATGTTGCCAAACACGGCAGCCAATGCAGCACACTTCCTAACATCATGAGCACGAGGACAGACCGCAGGCTGGCTAGATTTAATAAGACAACTCAATCAGAAATAGAAGACAACCTACGAAGAGAGAGAAAATGGCGGAAAGAACGCCAGTAGACTTCATATGTCACCGAGACAATGCTCTCAGGTAGGATACTATCAGCAAAGCCACCTGATCACCGATACAAATGGTGATAAACCCACGTCAAAAAGACCAGACATGAAAAGTGGAGGAGAAAGCCGAACCAGCCATGTACCGGACCAGTCCGACCTGCTTGAAGAGGCGGAGCCACACAAAATGCCCTGGGTTCGGACACCAAGCAAGCAGTGCCTGAAACCAAGGCTGGGCTGGCAACCAAGGGGTCACTAGGACTACTCTCCTGTGGTAAGCCAGGACCTGAGGTAACAGCCGAACCGGGGAGAGGGGGGGGGAAGAGGTACGGGTAACCCCACTTCGACCAGTCCTGCCAAAAGGCATCCATTGCGAATGCTCCAGTCAGGGAAGGGCGCCACATATATCGGGAGATGCCGAGACCACGCAGATGTAAAGAGGTCCACTTCCAGGAGTCTGCATGTCCGGCAGAGCCAATTGAAGAAGTCGACTCTCCATTCCATGGACAGGGGAACGAACCGAGACAGGCCGGTGATTATCACACTGAGACAAGGGGACAGAGTAACCTTCAAACTTGCACGAAGCGAGATGGGATCCAGGAAACACATCCATCCACCCCAAACTACCAAGCGAACTACTAAGTGCTGAACTCCTGTGACGTGTACACTCACAGGGACCAAGTGGAGGACCACCATGAATATATATATAAAGGTCAACAACAACAAGGGGTAGACCCTCCCACCAGGCAGAAAAGCAAAAATAAAAGGAAAACCCTGCAAGAGTACAACGTCCCCAGGCGGAACAGACACGGCCACTATATTATGGAGAAAACTAGCTGCACAGTATCTTGCACCCCTACCAGTGATGAAACTAACTACCTCCTACCCAGAGGCAAACAGTGGTGCAAGAAACACCCCAGCTGACTCCAAGGACGGGCAATTACCAAGCAGCAAAAAGACCACAGCGGAGCCTTGTGGAAGGTAACCCGAAGCCACAAGGGCAGTACTTACAGATCACCTAGGGGAGATAACCCTAGGTGCATGCAGCCCGAGTACTGGTGAAAGTACTCGTGGCCCACACACCACAAGGCACAGCACTGAACAACGTCAGGGACCAGAGTCACACAATCACCCGGTCTCACATCAGCCTCAGAACTGGGAGGTGGATAGCCAGTGGCAGGAGGTTTGGAGCTTCCCTTTCCCCCTCCCAGGGAGGGGGAGAACTGCACAGACAACTGCATGGCAGTGACATCATGCTCATTTGCTTATTTTCAATTTGGGGAGTTCTGTTCAACAGTTCGGCTTTCAGTGGCGAATTTCTAACCAGATAGGTTTGTTTTGGGGTGCCTACCTTTCTGGGAGCCTGACTCAGTCAATGGCAGACATAGAATACTTCCAACCACATGGGGGTTTCTACAGGTCATTGTTCCTCATGCCTCTCTGAGGGGGCCAGGTTCTGGCTAGTGGTCCCCGTTAGGCAGAACTCCATTTGTTTTCAGTGATGCCACTGTTTAATACATTCATGTCAGCCCAGATACCTCCGGGGAGCCGAAGAGCCTCCCCCCAAGAAATTATATTTAAGAAACTAACTGAAAACAAGAGAAATATATATTTAATCCATTTAACCCTTGTACTGCACAAAGTTTATATAGGGCATTATTAAAATGTACACAGAAAAATAATAACAAATAATTTTTTTGTCTTCCTACATTGTTAAAATGCATGCCCTGAACATAGGAAAAATTTCCCAAAATTCAGAAGTCACTTATCAAGATAGCAGATGTTTACTGGAGGTTTCAAATACCAATTAGAAACACTGTACAAGGAGTTTTAAAGGTTGCAAAGTACCTAATACGTCTTAGGATGTTACATTTTCCATGGGTCAAACATCATAAGATGGTATACACATTCCAAGGGTTAATGATACTAGTACTAGGCATCCATCAGTCTCGGGAAACTATCGAGTTGCACTCTGGTTCCAGGTTAGGTTGATAAGGGAAGAAGCTGTCAACCATGCAGCAGGTTTTCCCTCTCCACAGCGCAGAACTTCTTCAATGGAAAGGCAAACGCCAAAAGAACTGGTTCCAGTGCCGTCGAAGGAACTGTCAGAACAAGGAAAGGCAACAACAAACTGCCCTAGGGGCTCCAGCCCTAGAGTTTATCTCGAAGTTGGTAAAAGAATGCACAGGGACTCCAAACCAGGAGACCGCCGTGGTCGGGGCTGGAGAAGAACCATCCCAGCAAGGCAAGAATGACCCCAGCCTCCTGAAGCAGAGCTGGGACCGTACGAGCCCCAGGAGGTGGATTTCCGAGCCCCGCATCTACGGGTTCCAGACAGATCGTCACAGCCCCCTTTCACCCGAGGCCAGCTTCTTGCGTGACCCAGCAGAAGGAAGAGTAATAATTATTTATTACAACATTATTATAATTGTTATTATAATAATAATAATATAACTAATAATATAACTCCACCAAACAGCATGATCACATTTTGTCACAAAGACAACCTTTTCATTATATACAACAAGGTTAAATTTAATTGCCCTTTCATCAACTCACTGAATCTACACTAGTATTACTTCACAGAAATGTACTACATATGCACCCCAATGTTAATAGGAAATGAGCTGTTAGCCTTAAATTCAGGGCAAGATGCCAATCTTTGTACTAGTAACTCTTGGTTGCACTCTAGAACTGCAATTTATTTTAATTATCTGAAATTTGTTTATTATTATTTTAAGTCATTAGCCTTTCATTTATAAGATGTTTGAATGGTTGCAGTGACCATATGATTTAATCACCGGCCCACTGCCAAAACAAGCTCTGTACTGTACTGTTATTGTTTGTTTAGCATCGATACAGCATCGATACTGTTATTTGTTTGATACAGCATCAAAATTGCTGTTCATACAAAGGAAACCATCTACAGTATCTGATTTTCACTTGTGGCCCCCTCTTTTTTGGAAAGTTTATTTTCAGGGTAATGAAACTGGTTAGTCTGTGTCTGAATGTACCTTCATAAGCTTGATATAGTGGGGATGCATTCAAAATATCCAAGTAAAAATATTCCCAGGGGAGATTAAATTAAGCATTAAATTTTATGCTTAAGATGTTATCTAGAGCAGCACTGATGGACTTAAGACTTGTAGATAAAGGAGATAACAGCAGTTTTTATGAGACTATGGTCAAACCCAAATCACCCTAGTACTAGCAGTAAATAGGTAACTGGGAGTTAGATAGCTGCTATGGGCTGCTTCCTGGGAGTGTGTAACAAAAAAAAGGCCTGGTCGAGGACCGAGTCGTGGGGACGCTAAGCCCCGAAACCATCTCAAGATAACCCTATCAGTAATACTGTACATGTATCAAGCAACATGGAGTCAGACAATATTAATACAGTACTTGCTTTTCTTATGAAATGGTAAATACATATTCAAAAGTATGGAACTACAGAAACAATTATACATATAGTACACCTTTATTTGACCCTGGCAGTGATGGTAGCCAAGAACAAGCAAAAAATATACATTTCTTATTTTTCACATGAAATATATTTAAAAATAAGGAATCTGAATATAAAAGTAAAGACTGCTGGGATACACCACTGAGCTACTAGACCCAAATGGGTAACACTGGTATTCAAACAGTGACAACATAATTCATCATATGATGATGATACAGCATTACACTGATGTGTAATACTGTGACATAATTCATCATATGATGATACAGCATTACACTGATGTGTAATGTTGTGTCAAATAGAACAAATGACAATGACTACACTAACTTATGCACAAATTGCCAGTAAGAGCTTAGCTGTGCCCTGTAAATATTCAAAAGTACTAAAGATTCTATGTGGATGTCATTCAATACTACAGACTTCAAGCAATTGGATACTTATTTGCATACGATATAATGTTTTGCTACAGTAATGTTTTCCAAATGGGAAAAAGTCATGAAAGTCTTAGATTCTTTTTTGGAATTGGTAAAAAAAAAAATTGTCACCATGTCAGGTGCATCACTACCCATTTACTGATGCCCATGCTAGGAACCAATGACATGCAAAGTTTCAAGGACTTTCATCCACCTGGAAAATATTAGTGATGAGAAATCCATTACAAATAGCTAACTTAAAAATTAATTCTCTTAATATCACATTTTAATTTCTTCATCTCGTTATGGGCAATGATTACAATTTATTTTTATAAATGATAAATTATTAGAATTTATTTTTTCCCAACATCAAAAAGAAATGTTGTACGATATAGAAAGAAAAAACAATTGTTTGAATTTTTTTATGCACACCAATTTAGGGTGTGCAGTTAGAGGATTAAGAGCTGAAAGCACCAAACTGGACATAAATCTTATTTGCATACAGTATAATGTTTTGCTACAGTACAAAACGTTTTGTCAAAGCTCTCGTAGAAAAATATAGTACTGTATGCAAATAAAATCTCCAACCAATAGTGTCCTTTAAATCACTATCAGTAATGTGCATCATTTATGTAGAGAAATCAAACTGATTCGCATAACACATCAAGTCTTGGCAAGATAAGAGCTACTCACCCAGATAAATGAATCCTTTTCTCTGTAAATTGTCCAACGCCACGTACAGGATCAGAGTATGGTTTGTTTTCAATTACTTCCACTCCCTCTCCTCCATCACTCTGTTCGGAACTGTGTCGAGCAATCATGTAGAGTTGCCCAATGAGGTACTGAAAGGGTTATAAAATTTCATGAAGAAATGTTTGCAATATGTAATGTTGCAATAACATGTACATGTACAAATATTAGATGTAAATCAGGTCTTTCTATGGGTGTTTAACGAAGTTCCAGCTCCTGCCCTACGGAAAAAATGTATATATAAAAACAGAAACCACATACAAAATGCAGTCAAATCATAACAAAGAAGGAAAAGGCAATGTAAAGGATTTGCGTGTACTCATGTTGTTCCGAAGACCTTACCTTTAAAGAACACAATAAAGTAGCCATCACAACTGCAAGAAAAATGACAGGTTGGATAACAAGAACCTTTCACAATAGATGCTACACCGTCGATGATACTTTTCAAGACGCTAGTGCTCTCGAGAGCGGAATACTGTTACACAATGACAGCTCCTTTAAAAGGTAGAGAAATTACTGACCTGGAGAGCATGAAGAGATATTTCACTACTAGAATCCATTCAGTAAAACATCTAAACTATTGGGACTGACTAAAATGCCTAAATCTGTATTCTCTTGAGAGCAAGCGGAAGAAATACATAATACAGTGGCACCTCAACTTACGAAAGTGTCGTCGACTAATGATATTTGTTGATACACGTTCAGGTCGACCGAGCACGTGGTTCCCAGTCGTGCAGGCCGACCTGCCCCAGTTTACTAGAGCCGCTCGCTTAGTAATGATCACGCTTAAAGAAATTCTATTTTTTGGTGATTTTTTGCTTTTTGAACATAAAACTGATTATTATGTATCATGCAATGGTTCCCAAGAAAGTCAGTGGTAAGGTTGACTTTGAAAACACACGTGAGGATGACCATAGAGGCCGGCGATGAGTCACAATAACATGGCTAAAGTATGTAGACCAGACCACACACTAGAAGGTGAAGGGACGACGACGTTTCGGTCCGTCCTGGACCATTCTCAAGTCGATTGAACATTCTCACAATCGACTTGAGAATGGTCCAGGACGGACCGAAAAGTCGTCGTCCCTTCACCTTCTAGTGTGTGGTCTGGTCTACACCATAGAGGCCGTACAGAATATCCCTTCCTCAAAAATTAAGAAAATGTGTGCAGCATGGGAAGAACTGTAAACTTTCGCTGAAACGACTCGCCCAAATCAAGTTGCAGTAGGCTGTTGCCTTAACCTTTTCAATGACACTGTGATGCATCATTACAGACAAATGTTAAAACGAAGGGAAAAACAAGTGTCTCTTAACAAATTTTTAGTGAGACAAACTAGCAGTGAACCACAACCAGGTCCTAGTGGTATGCAGACAAAACATCACTGCCTGATGTTATAATGGAAGGGGGTGGATGTATTTATGTATAGATGTATGAGTGCATAGATGTATGTATGTATGCATATTAGGCTTATATCAAGGGCTCCCAGGGTTGAAACTACTGACTCTCCCCAGAATGCAACCCCACAAAAAGCCGACTAACTCCTGGAAAACCATTTACTGCTAGGTGAACAGAGGCATTAGGTGGTAGGAAACATGCCTAACCATTTGTCCTGCCCAAGATTTGAACCCAAAATTCCCGAATGTGAGCTAAGAATGTACCCAACTGTACTAACTCAACTAATTCTGATACAGTATGTAATACTGTATATATAAAAGCATCTTACATGAATTACATACCTGGCATTTAAATAAAATTATATAAGATCAAAAATATAATTGTATTCCCTGCATGTATATTATTATCGAAACTAAACTGACCATTATTTCTATAAGAGACTGGAATTTGAAGAAAAAAATTATCAACTGGCGAGTTTTTCCAATATTAAAAAGACAATCTGAGCTAAAGATTTACCAAAACAAAAAAATTATACTCACGGTATGTTATTTAACCACTATGAAGAATGTTCAAAAATATATCTTCTGTACATAGACAGTTCCAAGGGTTCATAACCCTATGAGTAAGCATCTCCTGGTTTCTCTTAAGTTGTTGCCTTTTAAAAGCATTACATTTGACCTTTTAAACAAGGGGTCTGGATTAATATTCTCCAACTTGTTCAATACTGTATTTTCAAGGTCTCCAGTTCAGTTCTGTCATTGGTATCAGTGGCTATACTGTGTTTAATATGCAATATATATATATATATACCTACCAATTAACCATTAACATGATCTTATGTATATTTTATTTATAAAATTATTGTATTATTATTATGACCTACTGTGCTTATTAACTGTATAACTGTACCATCTCCAATACCTGACCCAAGGCCTAACTTCTAACAATACCAATGCAGTGAATATGGACCAAAATAAACGTATTCCACAGTACACACAACTGGGCCATAGTAAATAGTGAGCCTTATAACTAAACTATATTATTGCTTCGTGAAGCCCTGCATGCTCTTCACTACCGAATTAGAGCCGCATACCATGACCCAGCCATTAATAAGTGCGAAAAGATTAATTATGAAGATACGTGCAAATTGGTTTCTTCTTTTAGCATAAAAAAAATGCGAAAAGAAAGTTGCCGACTTATCATTCTGAATAGTGACTTGCTATAGTCCCAAGGAAAGGTAACCCTACTGTAATGTGCCAAATCAATAATACCTCTTCCACAGTCATGGGCATGCATATCCGGTACTCCTTCAGCATCTTGTACTATGTGTAGGAAGGCGGAAGGGAAGAGGTAGGTGGTCATGAGAGGCCAGTAGACGAAGTCACCACCATCAGCTGGTAGCTCCACTCTCATCCCGCGGAACATAAACACTGCTCAGAGCTCCGTTCCATTACACTGCACGGTTGCCAGATCCAAGTTGCTGAAAGTAGCGAGCTGACGGTCTGAGAGTAGCGAATTTGTAATAAGAGTAGCCCAATATATATATATAACTTTTTTTAACCTAAAAGGGGTACCACCTCTGGTGCAAGTGTAGGGACCCATAGCCTCCGAGAAGAAAATAAAGAGTACTCAGAGAAGACCTTGTGGATCCTCACTGAACACTGTTCAGTGAGGATCCACAAGGTCTTCTCTGAGTACTCTTTATTTTCTTCTCGGAGGCTATGGGTCCCTACACTTGCACCAGAGGTGGTACCCCTTTTAGGTTAAAAAAAGTTATATATATATATATTGGGCTACTCTTATTACAAATTCGCTACTTTTAGACCGTCAGCTCGCGTGTGGATCCTCACTGAACACTGATATTTTCTTCTCCTGCTACCCCTATTCTTTTAGTATGTGTGTATATATATCTAACTTTATTTTAAAATTTCATTACACAAAGAGGGTAATGCACAACCTGAAGCCCAATTAAGTAACACCCCCGGAGCCCTACCAGTTGTGTAACCGGACCCCGACCAGTTGTGTAACCGAACCCCGACCAGTTGTGTAACCGGAGCCCGACCATTTGTGTAACCGGAGCCCTACCAGTTGTGTAACCGGAGCCCGACCAGTTGTGTAACCGGAGCCCGACCAGTTGTGTAACCGGAGCCCGACCAGTTGTGTAACCGGACCCCGACCAGTTGTGTAACCGAACCCCGACCAGTTGTGTAACCGGACCCCGACCAGTTGTGTAACCGGAGCCCTACCAGTTGTGTAACCGGAGCCCGACCAGTTGTGTAACCGGAGCCCGACCAGTTGTGTAACCGGAGCCCGACCAGTTGTGTAACCGGACCCCGACCAGTTGTGTAACCGGACCCCGACCAGTTGTGTAACCGGACCCCGACCAGTTGTGTAACCGGACCCCGACCAGCTGTGTAACCGCAAGCCTAGCCTTAATGAATCGAACAAATAACATCCGAAGCACAAACATAAACGAACTGAAGCCCGACTACACACAACCCGAAGCCCAAGTAATACCCCCGAAGGCCTACCAGTTTTGTAACCGGACCCCGACCAGTTGTACAACCGTAAGCCTAGCAAGTATACATCTCATCCAACCCCCACCAAGCTAAACAGTCCCAAAGCACAACCAAACTCCATTCCTAGCTCGACCAAACAAAAATCTCCTTAGCGGTACCTAAAACCCTCCACTTGCCCTAGAAACCAACTATGGAGCCAAAGCAAACAATTGAACTATATACAAAAAAGAAACCCAAATTTCTAGCAAACATATAAACAGAGCTCTAGCAAACAAACCTGGAGCCCTAGTACACAAACAACCACTGGAGCACAACCATATACAAACCGGAGCACAACTATGTTTAGTTTAGTTTAGTTCATTTATTATGCACCCCATACCCATCTCGTGGGCGGTAGTGGAAAGGGTTACAGAGGCACATAATGGGCTCAGGGACTGAACCCCACAATTCATTTAGCTAAGCAAGTTACAATCTTGATGAGCTAGTTACAAAATTCAATACAAGTCGTCACATCAACAATGGGTTCGAGATCGCCCTCAAGTACAGGTTCTAAATTAAGCAACTGACATATGTGGAGACCTAGTGTCAAAATTCTCATTATCTGCTGATGTAGACCTGACCAAATGTAAACTGTGTCAACAAAATTATTCGCACACCCTCCGTCACTATGTGATGGAGTGCGAAAAGATACGTGAATTTAGAGACAATTCTATAACCAATGTTCCAGCGATGTGTAAATATTTCATTCAAAATGATCTGCTACCAGAAATTTTAGCCAAATATCCCCAGTTTGCTAACTGTAGGTAGTAACTAAGTGATTGTAACCTATCCACCGCTGCCCACTGGATGGGGGGCGGTGTGCAGGACAAACATATAAATTTTGGCACAACCATGCACGAACCGAAGCCCGACCATGCACAACCCAAAGCCAGGTGACACCCCCGGAGCCCGACCAGTTATTTAACCGGAGCCCGACCAGTTGTGTAACCGAAGCCCGACCAGTTATTTAACCAGAGCCCGACCAGTTATTTAACAGGAGCCCGACCAGTTATTTAACCGGAGCCCGACCAGTTATTTAACCGGAGCCCCATCAGTTGTGTAACCGGACCCCGACCAGCTGTGTAACCGCAAGCCTAGCATGAACGAACCAAACAACCTCTGGATCACAACCATGTATGAACCAAAGCCCGACCATGCACAACCCGAAGCTCAAGTGACACCCCCGGAGCCCGACCAGTTATTTAACCGGAGCCCGACCAGTTATTTAACCGGCGCCCGACCAGTTATTTAACCGGAGCCCGACCAATTGTGTAACCGAAGCTCGGCCAGTTGTGCAACCTTAAGCCTAGCAAGTATACATCTCATCCAACCCCCACCAAGCTAAACAGTCCCAAAGCACAACCAAACTCCAATCCTAGCTCGATCAAACAAAAATCTCCTTAGCGCTACCTAAAACCCTCCACTTGCCCTAGAAACTAACTATGGAGCCATAGCATACAATTGAACTATATACAAAAAAAAGAAACCAAAATTTCTAGCAAACAAGACCTTACCTTTACCTTACAAGACCTTATTTACCTAGGTTTGTTTGCTAGGGCTCTGTTTGTTACCTTACCTTGAGGTTACTCCTTTTTGTCAAGGGCTGAGTAGATTACGTCAAGGAAACTAATGATTGCATCATTGGTGCTCTTTTGGGACCGGAAGCCAAGCTGGCAGGGGCTGAGTATGTCGAATTTTACGAGGTAGGAATAGAGCTGTTTGTAAATAATTTTTTCAAATATTTTTGATAGAATGGGTAGATTTGATATTGGTCTATAATTGTTTATGTCCGCCGGATTGCCTCCTTTATGGACTGGCGTTACTCTTGCTTTTTTAAGGATATCAGGGAATCATGTTCTATTCTTAGAAGATACGTTGTACTGTTGCAAGTTTTGTTGTTCCATTCATTACGTAAAGATCATCTAGATCATCATCAAAAAGATGATGTGAGCGTTTCTTTCACCCTGATGCCCCTGTTCACCTAGTAGTAAATGAGTACCTGGGAGATAGACAACTGCTAAGGGCTGCTTTCTGGGGATGTGTGTGTGTGTGTGTGTACTCACCTAGTTGTACTCACCTAGTTGTGTTTGCGGGGGGTTGAGCTCTGGCTCTTTGGTCCCGCCTCTCAACCGTCAATCAATAGGTGTACAGATTCCTGAGCCTATTGGGCTCTATCATATCTACACTTGAAACTGTGTATGGAGTCAGCCTCCACCACATCACTTCCTAATGCATTCCATTTGTCAACCACTCTGACACTAAAAAAGTTCTTTCTAATATCTCTGTGGCTCATTTGGGCACTCAGTTTCCACCTGTGTCCCCTTGTGCGTGTTCCCCTTGTGTTAAATAGACTGTCTTTATCTACCCTATCAATTCCCTTCAGAATCTTGAATGTGGTGATCATGTCCCCCCTAACTCTTCTGTCTTCCAGCGAAGTGAGGTTTAATTCCCGTAGTCTCTCCTCGTAGCTCATACCTCTCAGCTCAGGTACTAGTCTGGTGGCAAACCTTTGAACCTTTTCCAGTTTAGTCTTATCCTTGACTAGATATGGACTCCATGCTGGGGCTGCATACTCCAGGATTGGCCTGACATATGTGGTATACAAAGTTCTGAATGATTCTTTACACAAGTTTCTGAATGCCGTTCGTATGTTGGCCAGCCTGGCATATATGCCGCTGATGTTATCCGCTTGATATGTGCTGCAGGAGACAGGTCTGGCGTGATATCAACCCCCAAGTCTTTTTCCTTCTCTGACTCCTGAAGAATTTCCTCTCCCAGATGATACCTTGTATCTGGCCTCCTGCTCCCTACACCTATCTTCATTACATTACATTTGGTTGGGTTAAACTCTAACAACCATTTGTTCGACCATTCCTTCAGCTTGTCTAGGTCTTCTTGAAGCCTCAAACAGTCCTCTTCTGTTTTAATCCTTCTCATAATTTTAGCATCGTCCGCAAACATTGAGAGAAATGAATCGATACCCTCCGGGAGATCATTTACATATATCAGAAACAAGATAGGACCGAGTACAGAGCCCTGTGGGACTCCACTGGTGACTTCACGCCAATCGGAGGTCTCACCCCTCACCGTAACTCTCTGCTTCCTATTGCTTAGATACTCCCTTATCCACTGGAGCACCTTACCAGCTACACCTGCCTGTCTCTCCAGCTTATGTACCAACCTCTTGTGCGGTACTGTGTCAAAGGCTTTCCGACAATCCAAGAAAATGCAGTCCGCCCAGCCCTCTCTTTCTTGCTTAATCTTTGTCACCTGATCGTAGAATTCTATCAAGCCTGTAAGGCAAGATTTACCCTCCCTGAACCCATGTTGGCGATTTGTCACGAAGTCCCTCCTCTGAAGATGTGTTACCAGGTTTTTTCTCACGATCTTCTCCATCACCTTGCATGGTATACAAGTCAAGGACACTGGCCTGTAGTTCAGTGCCTCTTGTCTGTCGCCCTTTTTGTATATTGGGACCACATTCGCCGTCTTCCATATTTCTGGTAGGTCTCCCGTCTCCAGTGACTTACTATACACTATGGAGAGTGGCAAGCAAAGTGCCTCTGCACACTCTTTCAGTACCCATGGTGAGATCCCATCTGGACCAACAGCCTTTCTAACATCCAGATCCAGCAGGTGTCTCTTGACCTCCTCTCTCGTAATTTCGAACTCTTCCAAGGCCGCCTGGTTTACCTCCCTTTCTCCCAGCACAGTGACCTCACCTTGTTCTATTGTGAAGACCTCCTGGAACCTCTTGTTGAGTTCCTCACACACCTCTCTGTCATTCTCTGTATACCTGTCCTCGCCTGTTCGAAGTTTCAATACCTGTTCTTTCACTGTTGTTTTCCTTCTGATGTGACTGTGGAGTAGCTTTGGTTCGGTCTTGGCTTTGTTTGCAATATCATTTTCAAAATTTTTCTCTGCTTCTCTTCTCACCCTGACGTACTCATTCCTGGTTCTCTGGTATCTCTCTCTGCTTTCTGGTGTGTGTGTGTGTGTGTGTGTGTGTGTGTGTGTGTGTGTGTGTGTGTGTGTGTGTGTGTACTCACCTAGTTGTGTTTGCGGGGGTTGAGCTCTGGCTCTTTGGTCCCGCCTCTCAACCGTCAATCAACAGGTGTACAGATTCCTGAGCCTATCGGGCTCTGTCATATCTACACTTGAAACTGTGTATGGAGTCAGCCTCCACCACATCACCCCCTAATGCATTCCATTTGTCAACCACTCTGACACTAAAAAAGTTCTTTCTAATATCTCTGTGGCTCATTTGGGCACTCAGTTTCCACCTGTGTCCCCTTGTGCGTGTTCCCCTTGTGTTAAATAGACTGTCTTTATCTACCCTATCAATCCCCTTCAGAATCTTGAATGTGGTGATCATGTCCCCCCTAACTCTTCTGTCTTCCAGCGAAGTGAGGTTTAATTCCCGTAGTCTCTCCTCGTAGCTCATACCTCTCAGCTCGGGTACTAGTCTGGTGGCAAACCTTTGAACCTTTTCCAGTTTAGTCTTATCCTTGACTAGATATGGACTCCATGCTGGGGCTGCATACTCCAGGATTGACCTGACATATGTGGTATACAAAGTTCTGAATGATTCTTTACACAAGTTTCTGAATGCCGTTCGTATGTTGGCCAGCCTGGCATATGCCGCTGATGTTATCCGCTTGATATGTGCTGCAGGAGACAGGTCTGGCGTGATATCAACCCCCAAGTCTTTTTCCTTCTCTGACTCCTGAAGAATTTCCTCTCCCAGATGATACCTTGTATCTGGCCTCCTGCTCCCTATACCTATCTTCATTACATTACATTTGGTTGGGTTAAACTCTAACAACCATTTGTTCGACCATTCCTTCAGCTTGTCTAGGTCTTCTTATAATAATAATAATAATTTTTATTTAGGCAAAGGTACATACATAAAGAGATTTTACAAAGTTTGTTGGCTTTATAGATAAGAGCTAGTACATACAATGCCTAAAGCCACTATTACGCAAAGCGTAAGCGTCTTGAAGCCTCAAACAGTCCTCTTCTGTTTTAATCCTTCTCTTAATTTTAGCATCGTCCGCTTTCCGCATCGTTTAGCATTTAGCTGTGTGTGTGTGTGTGTGTGTGTGTGTGTGTGTGTGTGTGTGTGTGTGTGTGTGTGTGTGTGTGTGTGTGTGTGTGTGTGTGTGTGTGTGTGTGTGTGAAAATTAAGATTTAGGACTTGCCCGAAACGCTATGCGTGCGAGTGGCCGTTTGCTATGAGGAAGGTAGGATAGTGGTCAGTTGTTCTGTCACAGATTATACCAGATGTAAGGGGAGCTGTTATGTTAGTCCATAAGTGATCCAAGGTAGTGGCAGATGTTTGAGTGACTCGGGTGGGCTTCTGATTGTGGGGATTAGCATACAGAAGTTCATGCTGTTAAGGAAATAGTAAACTTGAGGGCTATTTTGTTGACCCAGGTCAATATTGAAGTCTCCTGCTAGAATGATGTGGTTTTTGTTGAGATTGTTGTTTATGATAAGATTCCTGAGGTTATCTGAGAATGAAGCTATATTAATATTGGGAAATCTATAGATAGCACCGACAGTCAAGGAGGATTTAAGGGATTTACTTGAGAACTGGGTAAAGGTATATTCACAATAGCCGTCTCTATCACTAATGACGCTATTGGAGATGAAGGTATCTTGGTAATATATAGCTGTGCCACTTCCTTTTTTATTAGGCCTGCAGTTGTGAATGGCTTTATAACCAGCTGAGTTGTAGAGTTGGGTATAGTCTTTACTTAGCCAGGTTTCTGTTAAAATAATGAACGATAATTTAGTACCTAGTGCTGTGAGTAGTGCATTTATATCATCAAAATGTTTACCAAGTGATCTAACATTTTGGTTGTAAATTGATAAGCAGGTGCTATTTTGGAGTTTGTTTTTTGCAAGATTTGCTGTGTAATACCTGCAATAATGATGATCAATGTGCTGATTGGTGTAGATATGAGACATATGTCAGTTGCTTAATTTAGAAACTGTACTTGTGGTCTATCTCGAACCCATCGATGATGTGACGACTTATATTGAATTGTGTAACTAGCTCATCAAATAAAGATTGTAACTTGCTTAACTAAATGAATTGTGGGGTTCAGTCCCTGAGCCCTTTATGTGTCTCTTTAACCCATTCCACTACCGCCCATAAGATGGGTATGGGATGCATAATAAATGAGCTAAACTAACTAGAGCCCAGTAGGCTCAGGAATCTGTACACCAGTTGATTGACAGTTGAGAGGTGGGACCAAAGAGCCAGAGCTCAACCCCCGCAAGCAAAACTAGGTGAGGACATAGTTTACAATTGGAATGTTCACCAATGGGAGATTCATTACCTGCAGCCACCTGTCATAGATATATATATCCAGGCCTAATTCTGGCAATTACAATGTCACACTGTCTAGTGATGTTTTATGTTGCCCGTACATATAATTCTCGGTTCTAAACATGTCATAGCTCTTTATACTCGTGTTTTCTGGCCTAACTGTTCTTATGTCCTCCCTAATTTCCTAAAATATTGCAGTTTTTACAGCAGAGATTGGAATGCCCATATCCAACTCAATTTCAGGCTTATCACATGCAGATTTAGCTGACCTGCCTGTGTCATCATGCTGGCCAACACCTCTGTGAGATGGTATCAAGATCAAGAACAAATTCCTCCCTTCCCTCCCTAATGAAGTTCATCTCACCCGGAGAACTTCAGTGTCAGTGGTGCCAGTGCAATGCTGAAATATTCCAGTTTGCAACACCATGCCTTTTTTCATATTTGCTGATTATAATCGTAATTTATAACAGGTAATTATTCTATATGTTCAGAAAGGCTATTAATTCCAAGACTTCTGCACAAAATATCAAGATCCTTTGTTTGTTTACATGTGAACCTGTTGGGACGGTTGGCTAACCTGAGGTGTCAAAGGAGAGTCCGCGCTCCCTCACCTTACACCAGGAATAATTACTCTCCTACAACATTTACAATGTAGCAACGCTGCGCTCAGTATAATAATATTTTTTGTCATGCATGGGGGCAAACATTAATAAATTAGCCGGGTGCTTAGAAGATTGTATTGAGATACAGAGTTAGCAGACGAAGATCAGAGGCCGATGGAAAGATGGCCGACTCGATGAAATATGTAAAGTTAAAGCGAAGTGAAACGTGTGGTTTTGGGTTTTCTATCCTTGGAGGAGCTGGCTCTGAACTCCCGCCAATCATATATGACATCATTGAAGGCTCCCCAGCAGCAAACTCGTGTCAGGTAACCCACAAGGGCGCTCATCCCGGGGCCAAGTTATGGGTCTTAGAATTCCAATCGTCGCTCGAGTCCTGGTTTATTTCCTTAATTAAGGGTGTTATTGTTGACCTTATTACAGCCTCAACACTGCCAGTTCAAGATTCAAACAACATCAACATTATTTTTATTTTAGATATTCATGAAAGGACATGCAAAGGCTAGCAACTTAGGATGAACATCTCTACTAATTTTGGCTTCGTGATGTGGTCTTAGTATATATGTGTTCTGCCAGACTATTTACTAATACTTAGCTGTTATAAATATTTGATTACTAAGATGGCAAATTTCCACAGTTTAAGTATATCAAATCTACATTTGTTTTTAGGATGAGATTTGTGATTTTATTTACAAAATAAGTTTGCCATTGCAGAGCAGTATTGAAGAGTTGCAGGAATCTATTGCACAGAATCTTTTGAATATAATGGTGTGAAAAAATTCATCTGGAAGTGATGGAAGGAAGTGTTGGGTGGGCTAGGTGATCAGTGTGTCTGGCACGCCTCATGATAATGCAGTTTAATTTTACATGTTTACTTGTTAATGTGTGCACTTGAGGGTTAGTAACTTCATAGTACAGTATTTTAGATGACACCACTAACAGACTTTCTGTACCTGTAATTTTGGCATTAGCTATACATCCTAAAAAATAAAAATGGTCTATATGTACTGCTAAATATTTAGTTCAATTAAAAATGCTTGACAAGCAGTTGATGTGAGTGGGTGCAGAACTAGGCCATGGTTGAGACCACTGTACTTTTTCAGTTCAGGTCACCTTGTACATGAAAAAGTTTATCCATACATACATACATACATACATACATATGTCCCCAAGAGGGCATTTGAAGGCATAGACGACGTTAGTCTCTTTTAAAGCGTTCTGTTTTGTGTCTGGAGAGTTTCTCATGATTAGGCTGGCCGTTTTTCTGGTTTTATAGTAAATCGTCAGTTGTATCCTCTGATTTTTGTCTGTAGGGATAACGTTTCTATTAACAATATCTTTCAGGACCCTTTCCTCCGTTTTATGAGCTGTGGAAAAGAAGTTCCTGTAAAATAGTCTAATAGGGGGTATAGGTGTTGTGTTAGTTGTCTCTTCAGAGGTTGCATGGCTTTTCACTTTCCTTCTTATGATGTCTTCGACGAAACCATTGGAGCGATAGCAGGCGGCTTGACGTTTGCGAGGCACTGCACATCAAGAAGTCAACACCAGCAATCAACAGCCAATTATTGCACAACTATATTATACCCACCTCAAGACTCCGCTCCAATATAGAAGCATCAAAAAATATGGACCAATAGGCTTTCTACAAGCACTTCTATTCAATAATATAAGTTCTCAAATTTTCTAACTTAACCAATAAAAATATAATCTATTAGCAGTCAATTATAATTAATCTAGTTATTAATGTATAATTTCTTTTGTTTTTAATTGATGCTGGTTTTAGATTAGTTTAGGTATTGTTTTGTTAAGTTGTTGAGTTAGCTTAGTTTTACTTAAATTTGCAACATTGTGAAAATATAAGCATATCAAAATGAACTACATTTTAACAATACAAATAGACTACCTGATTGGCAGATTTACAGGCACAGTATTGTTGTTGTTATTAAGGGCAGCGACAGTTCTCGTTCCCTTAACCATAGCTAATTAGAAATATAAAAAAGGCAGAAATGACAGCCTCATTGCTTGCAAAATTTGTGTGTTGTTTTTATTAACCCTGATAATGTATTATATTATAGGTTATTCTTATAAGCTTTATTCTTTATAAGAAATTATATTAAGTTGAGGCATTACAGATTTGGTTTAAACTACAAAATCAAGTAAAATGTGGATACTGTAGTAGTAGTAGAGTAAATCAGCATATGATTTAAATTTAATTTAATACAGTATTCAGCTAAGCTACTAACTAAACTTTTAAATTATTTTAGAATGTTAAATTTCTCTCCATTCTTTAGTTTCTATGATAAAGATTAGCTAATTGTTATATTGCAAAGATCCTGTACCTGTATATACGCATTTATGTGATTATGTGTTTGTCAAATCCAAGCTTACTGACCCTTTTTCATACCAGTACCCAAATGCTGATACACTAGGGCAAGTATACCATGGTACTCCTTGAAAGCAAGCACCAGCTCAGAAGCAGAGGTTGGTCATCGTTGACTGTCTCTGGTGCACCATTCTAGCTTGTCCCAAAGATATTTAGTTTTTATTTTTAGTTTTGGTAAGACCATGGCAGGGCTTAAATGTAATTATTGGCAAGACATCCAACTGGCACAAATAAGGGCCCACCTCACATAACTCCATCAAAGCAGGTAGGGTTGCATTGCCTATAATGCAATAATAGAATAGTGAAATCATGGTTCCATGTGCTGTGACCAGTGGACCAATTCCAGACAGTCCCACACCATCATGTCATAATTACCACTTTTCACAACAGACATGATGCAGTTTTTTATACAGTGTTTCCCAGGTGCCTGCCACATGCAGGTTCTACCAATGGATGATACACAGCATGACTCATCTCTCTACATTACCTTATTTCAATGCGGGTCACTCCAGTTTAAATATTCCTAACATCATTCCAGTTTCCCCATGGCAGTGATTGGTGTTATGAAAGGCTTATGGGGAGCTCTATGCTGATGTCAGATGGCCCTCCTATAACAACAGTGTATTTATTGAGTTCCTTTGTGACCTCTGCAAGGTTTGACTTGCAGTTTCCAATCACTTCCCATTCCATCATTATCTGTATCATGTTGGTCACTTTCTTTGGGATCCTTGAACTTACTGTCACTTTTCCCTCTTCCCCACCATCACTGGCATGGCTCTTCATCTTTCACTTGTTTATGGTATACCATAGTTGACTGAATGAAGTAGAATCTTCATTCTGGCAAATGAATAATTCATAATGTGACATCATATTACCTCTTATCTTTCAAATACCATTACCTCATCTCTCCAAGGCATGGTGGCTGTAACTAGCATATCACAATCAGAATTATTTATTTAAGTTAAGAGAGGGTGTTGTACAGTTGTATTTTGATAGGGTACAATATCTTCACCTGATGCTTCTTTTAACTTAGCAGTAAATAGGTACCTGGGAGTTAGACATCTGTTGTTGATATATAATTAGCTTTATCTTGATATGCCTATCAGGCTTCCAATTCCTGACAGTGGGACACCATTATAACTTCCATTTCTGTGATTGTCACTTTTGGTCTATGATTTTATATATATATATATATATATATATATATATATATATATATATATATATATATATATATATATATATATATATATATATATATATATATATATATATATATATATATATATATATATATATATATATATATCATATATAGCATATATATATATATATATATATATATATATATATATATATATATATATATATATATATATATATATATATATATATATATATATATATATATATATATATATATATATATATATATATATATATATATATATATATATATATATATATATATATATATATATATATATATATATATATATATATATATATATATATATATATATATATATATATATATATATATATATATATATATATATATATATATATATATATATATATATATATATATATATATATATATATATATATATATATATGTATATGTGTATATATATGTAATATACGTGTATATATATGTATATGTGTATATATATATATATATATATATATATATATGTATATATATATATATATATATATATATATATATATATATATATATATATATATATATATATATATATATATGTATATATATATATATATGTATATATATATATATATATATATATATATATATATATATATATATATATATATATATATATATATATATATATATATATATATATATATATATATATATATATATATATATATATATATATATATATATATATATATATATATATATATATATATCATTGAATATGACCGCATATTCTGTATTTATTATTTTCTGGTTTAGGGCTTCTATCCCTCTAACTATTTTCTTAGCATCAGGGTAATTGAAATAGGAGTTCTCCAAAACTCATTTTCGTACTTTTAAGGTGAAGAAAAGAAGTGATTTACTATAGAGTGTATTACACTTATTTGTATAATTTGCACGACGTTTCGAACCTCCATGGTTCATTCTCAAGTGAACAGATCTTACAATACTAGTTGATTTTATACCCGCATTAGGTCAGGTGATAATACAATGAAGGTGAAAACATGGGGGGATACATAAGGGATAAACATAGGGGCTGCAGAAGGCTTATTGGCCCATACGAGGCATCTCCTATCCAAACACAAAGATTAATCCAGTGTAATTGGCCTGTTATGTTGGACATTGTCTTCTGTGTTGGCATCGATATGTTCTTGTCTTGTCCTTACTCTCATGGTGTGTAGAGTAAATAGTTCCGTGATTTGGGTGTTCATGGTAGGTCGCTCTATTCTTATGTGAATTGCCTCAAGAATTTGTAATCTTCTTGAATCTTGGGTTTTGTCTATTATGCAAGTATTCTTGTTCAACATTTCTCTTGTTAGAGTAATGTCATGGGCTTGTCTCATGTGATTCCTAGGGGCACCAGTTTGAAGATGGCATGTCAAACGCCTCGACAGCTTGGTCGACGTCATACCTATGTACTTACATTGAAGGTTACATCCTTCGTGGGGGCAAGTGTACATGTATACAACGCTTGACTGCTGTAGAGGGTTCTCCGTCGGCTTCGGGCTGTTTTTGATAAGGAGTTCGGAAGTCTTCTTGGTTTTGTAGAATATTATCAGGTTTATGTTTTGGTTAGGAGTAGTGCTTTTTACTCCTTTACGGATTATTTCTTTCATTATTCTTTCCTCTTTTATATGTTCACTGTGCATGGTTGATTTGTAATATAATTTTATTGGGGGTGTTGTGGTTTCTGTTCTAGGTTCTGAATTATACCAACGGTCCAAGTGTCTTCTTATAGCAGCGTTTATTTCCGCGTTGCTATATCCGTTGTTCACCAATACCTGAGTTACTCTTTCAAACTCTCTACTCACGTTGCTCCATTCAGAGCAGTGGGTAAGCGCTCGACGAATATAAGCATTGAGAACACTGGCTTTGTATCTTTGGGGGCACTCACTTCTACCGTTCAAGCATAATCCTATGTTGGTGGGCTTGGTATATACGTTGGTGCTTAAAGAGGTTCCTGTTTTTGTTATTAGTACATCCAAGAATGGCAGACTGTTATTTTCACTATTTTCATGTGTAAATCGGAGTACTGACTCTCTCTCTAGGTGTCTTTTTAGGTCAATTAGTTCATCTGAGTCTTTTACTATTACGAATATGTCATCTACATAACGGCAGTATACAGTTGGTTTTTGTCTGCTACTGAAGACCCTATAGGGTCTTCAGTAGCAGACAAAACCAACTGTTTAGCAGACAAAACCAACAACGGCAGTATACAGTTGGTTTTTGTCTGCTACTGAAGACAATGTCCAACATAACAGGCCAATTACACTGGATTAATCTTTGTGTTTAGATAGGAGATGCCTCGTATGGGCCAATAAGCCTTCTGCAGCCCCTATGTTTATCCCTTATGTATCCCCCCATGTTTTCACCTTCATTGTATTATCACCTGACCTAATGCGGGTATAAAATCAACTAGTATTGTAAGATCTGTTCACTTGAGAATGAACCATGGAGGTTCGAAACGTCGTGCAAATTATACAAATAAAGTGTAATACACTCTATAGTAAATCACTTCTTTTCTTCACCTTAAAAGTACGAAAATGAGTTTTGGAGAACTCCTATTTCAATTAAGCCCTGATGCTAAGAAAATAGTTAGAGGGATAGAAGCCCTAAACCAGAAAATAATAAATACAGAATATGCGGTCATATTCAATGAAACATATATATATATATGATATATATATATATATATATATATATATATATATATGTCGTACCTAGTAGCCAGAACGCACTTTTCACCCTACTATGCAAGGCCCGATTTGCCTAATAAGCCAAGTTTTCATGAATTAATATGTTTTCTCTAATTTTCTACTTATGAAATGATAAAGCTACCCATTTCATTATGTATGAGGTCAATTTTTTTTTATTGGAGTTAAAATTAACGTAGATATATGACCGAACCTAACCAACCCTACCTAACCTAACCTAACCTAACCTATCTTCATAGGTTATGTTAGGTTAGGTAGCCGAAAAAGTTAGGTTAGGTTAGGTTAGGTAGGTTAGGTAGTCGAAAAAACATTAATTCATGAAAACTTGGCTTATTAGGCAAATCGGGCCTTGCATAGTAGGGTGAGAAGTGCGTTCTGGCTACTAGGTACACATATATATATATATATATATATATATATATATATATATATATATATATATATATATATATATATATATATATATATATATTTATATTATTGATATTTGTATATATATATATATATATATATATATATATATATATATATATATATATATATATATATATATATATATATATATATATATATATATATATATATATATATATATATATATATATGTCGTACCTAGTAGCCAGAACTCACTTTTTGGCCTACTATTCAAGGCCCGATTTGCCTAATAAGCCAAGTTTTCCTGAATTAATATATTTTTTCTAATTTTTTTCTTATGAAATGATAAAGCTACCCATTTCATTATGTATAGGTCAATTTTTTTTTATTGGAGTTAAAATTAACGTAGATATATGACCGAACCTAACCAACCCTACCTAACCTAACCTAACCTATCTTTATAGGTTAGGTTTGGTTAGGTAGCCGAAAAAGTTAGGTTAGGTTAGGTTAGGTAGGTTAGGTAGTCGAAAAACAATTAATTCATGAAAACTTGGCTTATTAGGCAAATCGGGCCTTGCATAGTAGGCTGAGAAGTACGTTCTGGCTACTAGGTACGACATATATATATATATATATATATATATATATATATATATATATATATATATATATATATATATATATATGTAAAAGCAGTTGTTTTTGATTGTTACATTAAAGTTACTGACTGGTGTCTTTAATTAATGATTGCAGTCTTTGATTACAGTGTAATACTTCTCATTTCTTATTTGGTAATTCCTATCTCCTTATGAGCATTGAAGACATACAGATCAATGTTCTCGGATTTATATTTGAAACTACCATATCCCTGCTTGAACCCTAAAACACAAAATTCAGGGTAGTCCTACTACTCCCCCTTACCTTATTTTTCTAAATGAAATGATTTTTCCCTCACTTAGTTTTTCTTTCCTTTTATCATCTTGTATCTGTTGTCAGACTTAGACACACCTCCAAGTATGGTGCTATAGTATTTACTTTCCCCATGTATCATACAGTAAGGTATGTACCCCCATTGCTGGTAGTTTAAAGCCTTTTGGCTCTTTTCAGATTTTTAGCACAAATAGTTATGTTTTATCCATCACTCATTTTAGATCCTGTTTATGAACTTCAGTTTACTGAAGTCTGGCATAACACAGAGAGTTAAAACTATCTGTACAATGATACTGTAACTCAGAGATTAGGTTAGGCTACTCACCATCAGCTATAAATAACCTTTTCGATATTTCATTAGTATCTTTTGGTTCTAGATCAATTCTCCCTTTCCCTGATATTAAATGACTTTTTGTTTTATATTCATAAAAAGCACACTTATGGCATTATACAAATTAGTGATTAGATTCTGTTGGTTTAATTTGCTTAGTTTATTTTACTTTATTTTTACCGGAAAAAATCTAAATTTCACAGGATCATGTAAAGAATAAGGCACTGTATGCATGTATTGAAGTCCTCTCAGCATTGCTGTACTGTTTGTTTGTTGATTCCTATCCAAAGGCTGCAAACATAACTGAATTGAAATATATGTACTGTATGTAATAAGCGTGCAACTTTTACCACAATGTGTTTACCACATTTGTATTATCTAAAAATGCTCAGTCCAGGGCCCAGAAGCAATTATAATATCTGCAATGCTCAATCCAGGGCCCTACACTGAAGCTGGAAACAAGAATACAAAAACTTCGCTCTCTAATTGGGTATCGCTCTCACTAACCACAAACCGTATGTGCAGTCCTTTTTTACTCTGTTGGTGATATAGTTTGCTGCATTTATTTTTGCTTCATGCTTTTATGGCTAATTTGTATGTTGTGCTGCATTACTAATATCTAGTATTTTACCTGGCAAGATGTGTTTGATTTATATTTGTCGCTTATCTTTGCTTCTTTAATTATTCCAAATATTCAAAATTATATTTTATTCAATGTGCAACATTTACAAGTAAAGTTTCACAACCTAGAATTTGCCTATACTGTACTTTTTTGTTTATGAATAGTTGAGAAAATAATTAGGATATGGAGGTAGGTTCCTAATTATTTTTGCTTATCACTGGTACTTTCTATTAGTGTCTGAACATGTTGCTATAAAAATGTGTGTATTTATAAATATACACAAAAAGAGCTAATATATTATCAGGTTTCTTAGCTCTAGATATTTGAAGTGAGAGTCCATGTATGAATTAGCATGTAAAATATATAATTGCAGTTATTAGACTGGTAGTTGAGACTAGTAAGAAGAACGATGTGTCGTGGAGTGCTTGGACGACTGGTTGCATTTCGGAAGGTCACTGCCAGATGTGCAGTATTGTTAGAACCCATACATAATAATTTTTAAGAAGCTTCAGTTTTATAGCATGGTGGAAGGTATGTGCTTAGAAACAGGTTCCATATGGACTTAGTACATGTTTTTGCTAACTGTATTGTGTAGCAAGCCTGGAGATTGTTCGTACCTCAGGCAGCAGGTTGTGAGCACTTGGAAGAGCTTTGGGAAATTTTAAAAAAATTAGTAAATACACTGATGGACTTGGTAACTTTGTTATCAGTGTATATTAGCTTCATTTTGCCTTCAGAATCTTTATTATCAAAGAAATATAAATTAATGTTCTCTGTAGAGATGCATGAATTCAGATTGAAGAGAACCCTTCACTGATATAATGTAGACATTGACCCTTCAGCATGTTTGAGGGAAAATCAGCAAGAGTTTACCAAAGATAAAATCACCCAAATATAAGTCATGTAAATGATTCGCGAGTGACTTAAGAATTAAACAAGCTATGGACAAATTATATTCCACTCTTGCACAATTTTCAGTGCTAATGAGTCTGACATCATAAGTTTTGTTTACTTCTGAGTAGCATTTTTTGGCTAATATAAATTGGGGTAAGACTATATACCTTTTCTCTCACAGCTGGCTCCAGGTGACATCATATGGGAAGTCAATGGGCAAGAGGTTAACACATTCACTACAAAGGAAGGTCAGTCCAGTATGGTGTGCCAGTGACCTTATCGATAGTGGCCCAGATATTCATGTCTATGAGTCCCTTCTTGGGAAATTTCTTTTACAAAGATTTCTTGAGACAGATGGAACCTAGTCATTTATTTTTGGTATTTATCCTACTTATTGTGATAGTTGTATGATAATTGATTCATATACATCATTTCTCATTATTCATGCCAAAGTATTACCTTAACTGAGTTTCATTAAATTTTGATCTGTTAAGTTGTTATTATAATACACATGGAACAAATGTATGGTAACACCTGTAGTAATTAGGACAATGAAAGGAAAGTGTGCAATTTTGGCATATCATATACACTGTATAATAAATAAATAATAATAATTTAACTTGGCAACCCTTACCTAGATTAACTCTTTTTGTTTTGTTAAAGTAAATTTAATCAATACCAACCTGTTCTTGAATAGCAGCTTTCTTTCTTGGGAAAACCCTTATATAATTACTGTAATGAGTTTCATGCTGAATACTCCTTTCTAAGCCTTTACTCTATAATATATTTAGTTTATCCTGCTATGTATCTTCCACAGTGCAAGATAGTGAATTATATTAAATTTTAATCATTGTTATCTTGAGGTTATCTTGAGATAATTTTGGGGCTTAGCGTCCCAGTGGCCCGGTCCTTGACCAGGCCTCCTTTTTGTTACACTTCCCCCCCCCCCCCCAGGAAGCAGCCCGTAGCAGCTGTTTAAATCCCAGGTACCTATTTACTGCTAGGTAATAGGGGCATCAGGGTGAAAGAAACTGCCCATTTTGTTTCCACCTCCACCAGGGGGATCGAATTCGGAACCTCAGGACTACGAATCTGAAGCGCTGTCCACTCAGCTGTCAAGCCCCTAAGTTTAAACTAAGTTGTAGTTTAATTTTTTGTGCATTTTTGTAGTCATGGTCAATAGAACTTTAAATTCCTTATGTTACTGATCTGTTTTCTGGGAAGCTCCCTCAGCTTACATGCTAGTGTAGTCAAGTCTTAGGAAGTTCACTAAGTCTATAAGACCAACATTGACTTACCAGGTACCAGAATCTGGCTCTCTGTGAAGAAAGGGGCACTTTGGGATCAGAAATTGACCAAAACCATGATAAACATACCAAGAGATATTTGGCAAAACATCACTAGCATTAATGTCCCAACTGCCACCAGATCACACCCCAAATTATCCAGCATCCCTGCCAATCATCCATCTCACTGATGCAGTTAAGGGTGTATCCCTCTGTTGTGATGATAGCTGCTGCTGCTTTCAGCTAAGTCGTGTCGGATATAGGGTTCTGTGGTGCAATGGTAAACGCAGTCGAGTCACAGCTAAAAGGTCCCAGGTTCGATTCTTGATGCCTCTGATCATTGTGCAGTAATTAGGTACCTGGGAGTTATGAGGTTATTGTAGGTTGTATCATTGGGAAAGCCAGAAATTAACCTTGAGGGATCTCGATAATCCCAAAAGTCTTCCTATCACCGACCGTGTTGAACCACTGCAAATATTTTAGGGGTTGGAGATGGGGGGGGTGTAATTCATCCCACTGTGCACCTTGCTTAGCATTGTAGATTCTTAACAGGTTCTTCATAATACCGTAGAAACTTTTTTTTTCTGTGGGGAACCCCATCGACTTGTTTGTTCTCTGGGGTGGACGTGGTGGTTCTTCCCGGAAGAGTCGTGCTAAGGTTCGGGATTCCTCCAGTCTTGGTAGGCCAGTGGTGCCAGTTTCGGAGGTGGCGACGTCTAGTTGGCGTGGTGATCGCTCTACTCATAGTCAGCTTCTTGTAAGGGGTGTCAGCCCGTTTGCGGGTCGCCCCATAGACGAGGCAATGGGGGGAAGGCTCACGCTGTTTGCTCGTGCCTTGTCCCACAATTTGTGGCTTTTCGGGCCGTTTCTTCTGGCCTATGGTGGTGTTGGGTTGCTCCACCTCCTCCGGGGGGTTCGGGGCTAGCGGGGCAGGCCTCTTTCCCTGTGCTCCATCGGGTCATCTTGGAGTGGGTTTGCTTGGGTGTGGTCGAAATGTACACGTCCCTCAGGTGGGTTTCCCTGTCTGTTTCCGCACAGTCCCTGCGAAACGGGACTGTGCGGATCTGAGATTCATTCTGGAATTGTCCCGCCTGAACGGGATCTATTGCCCTTCCTGTCTGATTACCACTCTGTCCCAGGTCCGGCCTCTCTTGGAGCTGGATTCTTAGATGGTGTTTCTGGATCTCTGGGATATCTCGGTTACCAAGAGGCAACAGTTTACATGTATATTGCGACGGGTCGGTGGCGGAGGATGGCAGGGCAGGGTGTGGTGTCCTAATAAGGGAATATACGGAGTTTGGGACTGTGGACAGGATAATTGAACTCCGGCTTAGTAATTATATATCATCCACACAAGCTGAACTGCAGGTCATTCTGGCGTGTTTGGAGGAAGTACGTCATGACGACAAAAATGTTTTTGTATTTGTCGATAGCCGAGGAGCACTGGAGTCCTTAAACAGTCGAAACCCAGTCTTCATGTCTATAGTTGAGGACTGTAAGAGAAGAATAACTGAGATACAGCTGAAAGGTTATAGTGTGAAATTCATGTGGATTCCATCTCATGTTGGAATAGTGCTCAACGAGGTGGCGGATGACTTGGCCAAACGTGACACATCAAAACCACAAGTTGACATTGAATGTGAATTCACAATGAGACAAATAAGAAGCAAAATCAGAAATATTCAGGCACAGGCAGGAGTGGAGAGGAGAGAGATAATGTATGAGAGAAGTCAAACCATGCAACACTACATGTATGTGAGTCAAAACACCCATTTCACTTATGGTTAAAGGAGAAATGCTTGGAGTGACTCTGTGTACATGCGGCTCAGGCTTGGGTACAAATATTACTGGGAATATGGGATAGGTGTTCATGATAATGACACGAGGTGTAAACTATGTGGTATGTTAAGGTCTCACACCCTGGCCCATTATGTTCTTGATTGTCCGTTGATTAATGTATATAGAAACACTGAGATAAGGACTGTTCTTGAACAAATAGCCTGGATGTGTCACAACGGAAAGGTTGATGATATTCTTGAGAGATATAAGAATTTTGCACCAAGACTGTAATATTTTGTTGAATTATCTGCATGTCTCTTGCAAATTGTCTATACAGTATACCTAGGTCATAAAAGTATTTGTGTGTACGTCTGATAACATACTACTTGTGAAGGAGGAAATGTATAGGTTTATCTCTCAGAATGTTTGGTAATATGTTTATTGTTTGTGATGTGTGTCTATGTATGTATTAACACGTTGTACTGAACGGGGTGAGAATAGCTTGAGCTACCTCATCCCTTTGTGTGTATTTTTCCTCAATAAACTTATTTCAATTTCAATTTCTGGGATGCGCATGTCCTGATTCTTCTGGGGTTCAGAAACTGGTTAGGTTCGTGGTGGGGTGTCCGGCTTACCACTTTTGTTGCCTTCTTTTTGGCTTGAATCTGGCACCTCACCTATTCACGCATCTCACCCGGGTCATGGTGACCTGTCTGCGTTTGTTAGGGCTTCAGGTTTTGGCCTACCTCAATGACTGACTAGTGTGGGCTCCCACCTGGTTTGCATGTCTGCTCACCAGGAGTGTAGTTCTTTCCCAGCCTGCTGGGTTCGGGTTCCTGGTGAACTTGAGGGAGTCCCATCTGGTTTTGTCCCGGGTTTGGACCTGGCTGAGTCTTGTTTGGGATTCTTCGACAGCTTCCTTGTCTTTCCCTCTGGAGGCCTACTGGGGGACCACAAGCCAGAACCTGACACCTTCAGAGAGGCACAAGGAACAATGGCTTAGAGGAACCCCGGTGTGGTTGGAAGCATTCTATGTTTGCCATCGACTGGGTCAGGCACCCAGAAAGGTAAGCGCCCCAAAACAAACCCCTATTCTGGTGAAGAATTGCTACTGAAAGCCAAACTAGTGGACAGAACTCCTCTAATAAAAATGAGCAAATGAGCATGACGTCACCACGTGACCGCGCTGCTGTTTGCGCACCTCCTCCCTTCCCGGGAGGGGGAAGAGGGAGCCCTAGACCCCCACGCCAGCTATCCGTCCTTCATTTCTGTGGCTGATGTGAGGCTGGTAAGGTCGTGCGACTCTGGCTCCAGAATTTCAGTCCTGTGCCTTGTGGTGTAGTGCTATCCTCGGTGGTGCGCGAGTCAGGAGTAATTTCACTAGTACTTGGGCTGCATGCGCCTAGGAGCGCCTGACAGCTGAGTGGACAGCACTTCGGATTCATAGTCCTGAGGCTCCGGGTTCGATTCCCGGTGGAGGCAGAGACAATTGGGCAAAAAGTTTCTTTCACCCCAGAAAGAGGTGTGTAAGAGGTATGAAAGAGGTGCCTGACAGTTGAATGGACAGTGTTTTGAATTCGTAGTCCTGAGGTTCCGGGTTCGATCCCTGGTGGAGGTGGAAGCAAATGAGCAAAAATGTTTCTTTCACCCTGATGCTCCTGTTATTTAGCAGTAAATAGATACCTGGGAGTTAGACAGCTGCTACGGGCTGCTTCCTGGGGGTGTGTAACAAAAAGGAGGCCTGGTCATGGACCGGGCCACAGGAATGCTAAGCCCCAAAATCATCTCAAGATAACATCAAGATAACCTTACCTAGGTACCCAGTAAGTACTGCCCTTGTGGCTTGGGGCCATTTTCCACAAGTCACCTTGGGGGCTACCTTTGTAAGGTCTTTTGCTGCTCGGTAATTAGCCGCCCTTGGAGTCAGCTGGGGTGTTTCCCTTTCCCCCATTTGCCTCCGGGTAGGGGGTAGTATTCATCACTGGTTGGGGCACAGAGTACTGTGCAGCTAGTTATCACCTCTCATTGCAGCTGGCTCTGTTTTGCCTGGGTACATTGTCCTCTTAGGGGGTTTTTCTTTTGTTTTTGTTTTCTTTCTGGGTTAGGGTCTGCCCCTTGTTTTGGTATTAACCGATTGTATCTTGGTGGTCCTCCGCTAGGCCCCATGAGTGTACACATTCACT